AAATCGACACGGAAATATAAAAAATCCCAACTTAAACATAAAATTGAGAGTCATTGCATTACTGAATTTGATTAGCCATTGTTCAGTACAAAAAGAGTTTGAAATTCTTAAGCATAAAAGCGTTTGAGATGAATCACGTGCCAGGATCGCGATAGCTGTCGTCCTTTGCCATCTTCGAGTTCGTATGCGCCTCTTTCGAGTACTTTGGTGATGGTGTAAGGTCCTTCCCAGTTGGCTTCCAACTTCCCGACATGTTTAAGAGCATCTGCTCGCTTGAGGACAAGGTCTTCCACTTGAAATCGCCTGGTGCGGACTTTCCTGTCAAAGGCTGCCCGCATCTTCTGCTTGTACTCTACGGACCGCAGCCAAGCTTCCTCTCGCATTTCTTCTATCATGTCGAGGGCCTCTTTTGCTAGCTCTTCATTGGTCCTTTCCTCATAGAATGTCGACCTGTGAGATTCCGATCCAACCTCGATGGGCAATAGGGCGTCCATTCCATAAACCATGTGGAATGGTGATTGCCCCGTTGAACTTCTTGGGGTCGTCCTATAGGCCCATAGGACCGTTGTCAGCTCGTCGACCCAGGCACCAGATGCTTTCTCCAGTCTTTTCTTTAGCCCTTGCAAGATGGTTCTGTTTGTCACTTCGACTTGGCCGTTCGCCTAAGGGTGCGCAACTGAGGCGAATCGCTGTTTGATCCCCATGTTGACACACCACGTCTGGATCCGCTTTCCTTGAAATTGTGTCCCATTATCTGAAATCAAGATCTTTGAGATCCCAAATCGACAGTAGATATTATTGAACAGGAAATGTATCATTTTGTCTTTAGTGATTTTTGCCAGAGGTTCTGCTTCTACCCATTTGTTAAAGTAATCGATGACAACCACCATAAATTTTTGTTGCCCCGTTCCCATTGGCAACGGGCCTACCAAGTCGATTCCCCATTGAGCAAAAGGGATCGGGCAGCTGATTGTCGTCATTGTTTCGGCTGGAACGTGGGGGATTTGACCATGGCGCTGGCATCTATCGCATCCTTGTACTAATCATTCGGCTGCTTTTCGGATATTGGGCTAATAATAGCCTGCCCGAAGGGCTTTGCCAGCTAGGGCTCGTGATCCTATATGTGCTCCGCAGCATCCTTCGTGGATTTCCTTCAAGACATGGTCCCCTTCTCTTTCAGAAACGCATTGCAGGTGGGGCCCAACCATCGACTTCTTATACAAGACTCCTTCGATCTCAAAATATTTACTCAAATATCGGGCTGCTTTCTCTGCCTCCTGTTAGAGTAGTATACCCAGAGTTCCAATTTGATTGGACGTATTCTACTTGTAAATACGATCTATTGGAATTATATTGTTAATAAGGCATTTCTTTATCTTAAGAG